GAATTTAGAATAATGGGGGCTATCTGGGGGGCCCACATTAAGAATATTCAGCAAAGGTCATGCACCCAAATGCAGTCAATTAGTAGACTGGCACAATCAACCTGGGGAGCGACATTCATGAAGTCTAAACTGCTGTACAGTTCAATAGTGAGACCGGCCCTCACGTATGGGTCATCGATATGGGCCGAGGCCGGGCCAACAGGAAAGATACCCGAAAGGATAGTTAAACCCCTCAGAAGTATTCAAAGAAAATGCTTAAAACTTGTTGCAGGTGCCAACAATTATACTAGCAGCAGAGTGCTAGAGCACGAATCGTCGGTTCTCCCCATAGAAATATACCTTAAACAAAGGAGAGTCCAACACGTCGGGCTTTCATCCAAACTCCCTGTACAACAGACAATACAATCGACATGTAACAGGATAAAGCTGCCCGTAAACGGGAGAGAGACCCCGCATGCCTGGAACAGGAGTAAAGATATCGCCGAATGGACAAGAATTTGTGGAAGGGAAAAGGACAAGGGGAGGCAAAAAGAAGCTGGAAAGATAGCGGCCTTCCAGGAGTGGAAAAATTTATGGACAGGCATTAATAGGAAGCAGCGCTCGGGACGACTAGCATCAGCCGATCCAGAACATTGGAAAGCCGCAAATATATTCACCGATAAAAAAACAGGCAGTACAAAAACTAACTTCAGAGGTACACCTTTAAGTATCCACCGTAACCTGAGCAGGGCCCAAAGCAGTGTCGCGATTCAGCTAAGAAGCGAGCATATCGGCCTCAATTCTTACCTATACAGAAGAAAGGTACCCGGAGTAGAAAACCCTCGCTGTCAATGTGGATATCCGTCACAGAACGTCAAGCACATGCTATTGGCGTGTCCGCAGTGGGCAAGTGGAAGAGACGATGTTCTCCGACAAGCTAAAGACAGGTCATTTGAGGCAATGATGAACAGTCCAGAGGATGTCGCTCGAATCACACAGTGAATACCAAGCAAAGGATGGATAAAACAGTTTCGACTAGCGGGGGAAGTGGAGGCAGCAATGTCAGAAAAATGAATCGATCAGGAAGGGGAGAGAACGGAGTCCACACTGGCTTAACAGTGTAAAATGCACTTCCTGAAGGTAAACTAGGAAAGTTTGATAGCTATTAAACAGGCAGGATCAGGGGGTTTTCACCGAATTGGTTTCCCCCTTTGTAAATAATGAAGATAGTCACCTGCATGGACCCATAGGGTGCCTGATCGGGTTAAATGAAATCAAATTCAAATGGGGGCTATCAATTTGGCCACGTTGTTGATACTCACGTGACTGCAAATTCTGTACTTAGTTTCACTTCGGTAGTAATTTGAATCAATGCGCTCTACAACCTCAATGACTGAGGGGTCATTATTTCCTTAATACTTCCTACTTAAAGTACGTATCATCCGATAAAAACTGCACGGGTCTCAAGGCGCCAAATTGTGACAATTGAATAATTAATTTATTAATACTGAGGCGCCATCAGTGAATACGCTAGCCCAAATCTAGTTCCTCTCCAAATGATCGGTTAAGGTCTTCCTTAAAACTAGTAATTCCCCCCCAAGACATTTCATGGAGAGGCTCAAAGGAAACTTCTTTTTCCATGCTACTGTCATCTTTTGCCATTTCTATCCTTGTGTCTACTCCTGGCCTGTGGGGTGGAAGCTGATAGTTTTCTTCTTCATCAAAGTACTTGGCATTTTCTTCGATTTCTGGCGGTAGGCTTGCTTTTATTTCTTCAGGCGTTGACTTTTTTCTATTAACTAGAGCTTTGATGATACCAGTTACAGATGCTGCAAAGATTTTGATATCTTCGTCTTTAGTTTGACAAGTCCAGGTGCATAAGCGTCCCGAGTCCATGAATGTATCTACGTAAAAACAAATTTATTTTATAGTACTTTTTTTTTTAAATCATTCAAGTGTATTCAGCTATCTAGCTATGACACATGACCGGTGCTATGTATACTTATAGGATGACTCTTTTGACGTTAGAGACACTCATACTCTGGATTTCATTCGCAAATACTACTATGAGGTACGTTCGCTTACACAAACAGTCGAGCCTCCTCCGTAAGTACCCACCAAAGGAAATTTCAAATCTTTTGGTTATCCAAGCATGCCTTCGTCATCCATGCATACCAGCACCGCGAGAAAAGTGGTACTGTTTTGCCGGATTTGAACAAGCGATCTACTGTCTCGAGTAGGATAAGTGTCCAAGCTATCCAGACTCTACTTGGCAGGCCGGCCAAGACGATGTACCACCGCACCATCCAACCATGGCGGTGTTTATAGTGTCGCCTGTACTCTCGTGACAGAAGTCTTGACACGCACAAAGCTCAATTTGTAAAAGCTCCTTGCCAAAATTCAAAATTCCACGCCCGTCGAGACTGTATCCATCCTTCGCATCATCTTGTGAACTTGTCCTGAATCCTCTCACGTCCATCCCAAAGAACAGTCTCCCAGATTTGTGCGCCACGCTTTGTGTCCTCCGTCTGGTGTAATATCAGCGTGGGCGTGTATTTGGTGACCAGCTGAGGCCAGAGGAAGTCAACGAGAGGTGTTGTTATTGGAATAAGGATGTGCTAGGTCGTACTTGTAGACTTGATGGGACTTAGGTATGAATCGGACTCTTTGGGAGAGAATATTTGCCGTGGTGGAGTAGCTTGAATCATTGCCTCGCGGGCCAACTTCGTTGATATTTCGAAATTTGACTGAACTTGGCTCTGGGAGAATATTTCACACCCAGGTTCGTAGAGGATACCGCGTACAGGTGCTCAGTCTTGCCCTCCTATAGTACTTTGATCATGTAAGGAGAGCCACTTGATATTTTAACAACCTCCTTCATTTCTGTCAAATGACCTTATCACTTAACAACCTTTGATATGTAATCTTAGAAATGATGGCTAGTTGAGTTAATGAGTACAGTCAGATCCCTGTTAAGACAATCCTGCCTAAGACGATTTTTTTTCCCGGAGCGGATTTAGTTCCCACACATTTACAGAATACACGATTATCGTTCCTCAACCTCTGAATATCGTGTTAACCATGGTTTGTTTGCTAGATTGGTGCTAACGATGCCGCCAAGAAAGGTAATTTCTGTGAAACAACGACGTGCTCCGCGACTATGGGCGCACCGCCAGGTCCCAAAATCAACACAAAAACTGTGCATTGAGTGGTTCTTCGATGACTACGGCCATCGATTAAGCCAGTCCACAATCTCCGAGTCCTTAAGCAAGACCTTTGCGAAACTCGACGAAGCTACGAGTACTACTGCGCTACGACAGCGAGCTGGAAACTGGCCTGACTTTGAGAGTATTCTCTTGGAGTGGCAAATACGAGTTGAACAAGGAGTAGGGATCACAACTGGCGATATTCTTCGTGAGAAGGCAAAGCGGATCTGGACACAATTACCACAGCAAGCTAGCCAACCGTGACCTGAATTCAGCGCTCGCTGGCTTGAGAATTTCAAGAATCGAAGCCATATTCAGAATCGGGTACGACCCGAGCTCAAGAAAAACAAGGACCGAGTTTCTCTCTGTTTTTGTACGACTGCTACAGATTCTGACCGACTTCCTATTTGGATTATTGGCAAATTTAAGACGCCCCGGGCCTTGGAAAACGTCAGTATCCAGACAATGGGTGGCAGGTAGAGGTGGAATTCCAAAGTATGTATGAAAACAGCAATTATGGGCGAATGGCTTCAAGAATTCTATCGCCACATTGGAAATGCCCATGATGTACCCTTGACAATGGATAATTTTTCTGCTCATTATTCTGCCGTTGAATTATATCCTCCCCCGTTAAACTTCAAAATCTGTTGGCTTCTAGCTAATAGTTCAAGCCGGTACCAACCTCTTGATCAAGGTATTTTTCAAAACTGCAAAGCATTGTACAGATGATACTGGCTCCGCTTTGTCCTACAAGCAATTGAAGAGGGTACAGGTCCACAATCATATGTCAATATTCGATTAGCAATTCGTTGAATCTTACGAATTTGGAATAACGAAGTTACAAATACAACGATTCACAATTGCTTTCGGAAATCGACTCTTATTTCCAAGCCAATTGCTCTACCTACGTCTGTACTTCCTACTGGACTTTCTGAATTGTTTAATGAGGTAGTCAGAGCAGGAGACATATGAGACTCAATAGCAATAGAAAATTTTCTTTATCCAATTAAGGAGGAAGAGGAGGTGAATGTGGTGCTTGAAGAGGCAATGATTTTACAAGAGGTGATAGTGGAACATTTGGTAGCAAATCAAGGCTAAGAAGAAGAGGTAGTACAAGACAAAGAGCCTTTGAGCGCAGAAAAAGAGGCCGAAATGGCTTTGAAAGTGTCGATTGAGTATACAGGGAGTCAAGATTCTCTCAATTCGAGCTATTTGAGAGTATTAGAGCGATAAGGGGCGGCAATTGGGAGTATAAAAGAGGCATCAAAAGTACAAAGTAGCCTAGATAGCTGGATTAGATAATCACATCCCTTTAAGCGACATCCTCTATATGACGATATTTTTCATGGCCTGTATTACATCGTCTTAACAGGGGTCTTACTGTCCTACACACAGCGGGGTAATCTTAGAATAGCGTAATAGATCTCGCCTCACCCGCCAATGTAACCTAGCGTAACTCAACTTACGCAGTGCACCTACCCAGCAGGGCTTTCTAACTAACATCAACCACAGTCCTTTGGAAACTGATCTTTTGAAAGGCCTGGGGCGCTCATTACATGAACATCATCAATGATCCTAAATGGAGGCCTGTACCAGTGACTTCTTTAGTTTTCGTAGTTCTCTTTCAGGACGGAATCATTGCGAGCATGTAATTCTAAGCTACTGCTCTCTTGATTTGACAGGCCAAAACGGTCTAAGCGAGTAGATTTCTCCGGCCAGCAATGTCTACCTTCGTTGATCGGCATCCAGATCCGGTAGTCTGGCTGAGACCAAAACACTTATTCTCAGTAATACTAGTTTCTAAATTTACACAACATGAAGCAGCGACTTACATCCTTAGATGTGAAGGTTATTTAGCAGGTCTCGTAATTCTTTACTCAAGGCTCACAAACCTAGGTCATCGCACACGAATTGTCAACAGCATTGGTTACTCTACGACTCCAAAATATATATGACCTGTCGACAAAGATTTTTCTTGTTAAGTTTGCTAAACCAGGAAGCAAGCAGCAGATTGTAATTGAAAATGGATTTCGATGTCATCTCACTAAATACGCTCGAACAACCGCAGCTACCCCATCCATCTTTGTACAAGGCTTACGAAAGCGACTGAAGACAAGAAGAGTTACCTCTGTGTCACAGATAGGTAGTGACCGCATCATTGAAATACAATTTAGCGATGGTCAATACAGAATATTTCTTGAGTTCTTTGCTGCTGGTAATATAATTCTTACCGATAATGACCTAAAAATTATCAGTTTAATCCGGCCTGTACCGGAAAGTAAGGGACAAGAAGAGCTAAGAGTAGGTCTGCAGTATTCTATGGAAAATAGACAAAATTACAAGGAAACTCCAACTCTCGATAAGCAACGTGTTTACGACGCGCTTGTAGATTCGACTAAAAAAGAGAATATTGAAAATCTGAGGGGCAAGAAACCAAAGAAAGAATTGAGTAGTCTTAGAAATGCTTTGGCATTCTCTATAACAGAGATACCGCCAATATTGATAGAACATTGTATGGAGGTCTCAGAATTTGATTCAAAGATAGCTCCTAGCGATGTAATCCAGAGCGAAACACTCTTAGATCACTTGACAGGGTCTTTAAAGCAAGCCCAGCTAATTATCAATGAAGCCACTTCAGAAAACGTTGTAAAAGGATATATTGTTGCTAAGAAGAAACCAGGCTTCGATCAGGCTGATGAAGCTACCGCCAGCCAATTCCTAATTTACGATTCGTTTCACCCCTTTCGACCAGCTCAACACGAAAAGGATCCAGAACTTACATTTTTGGAGATTAAAGGTTTCAATAACACAGTAGATGAATTCTTTTCCTCACTAGAAGGGCAAAAGCTGGAAGCTAAGCTAGAGGAGCGAGAGCAAGTAGCTAGACAAAAAATTGAATCTGCTCGAAATGAGCAGGCTAAGCGCCTCCATGGTTTGCAAGAAATCCAATCTCTCAACGAGCGTAAGGCAGCGGCCATTCAAGCCAATATAGAGCGAGTGCAGGAAGTCCAGGCTGCTGTCAACGGGCTCATTGCCCAAGGTACGGACTGGGTAGAGATCGGTAAGCTCATTGAGCTTGATCAACGGCAGGGAAATCCTATAGCCATGATGGTGAGCTTACCATTGAAACTTGATCAGAATACTATAACTCTTAAATTATGTGAGACAAAACTCAACGAAGATAACGAGTCTGCATACGAGACTGATAGCACCGCTTCAGAAAGTGATGAAGACCTCCAAAGCAAGATGTCAAGAGAAGATCTCGCCAACAAAAGAATATTGATCGATATTGACTTAGGTATTTCACCTTGGGCTAACGCTCGAGAGTATTTTGGGGAACGAAGAACTGCAATACATAAAGAAGAGCGAACAATAAAATCTTCAAAAATAGCTCTTAAAAGTCAAGAGGCGAAGATCAAAGAAACTCTCCAAAAAGGGCTTAAAAAAGAAAAAGAAGTTCTCCGACCGATTCGTCAAGCGTTATGGTTCGAAAAGTTTTTTTGGTTTATATCCTCCGACGGCTACCTTGTTCTCGCGGCAAGGGACAAATTACAAAGTGAGACTCTATACAAAAAGTATACCTCAAAAGCCCTTCTAGAGATATTTTGATATCATTTATGATTCAATAAACTAATTATGTATAGATACCTTAAAAAAGGCGATGTATATGTGCATGCTGATCTTCCTGGTGCAGCAATTACCATCATAAAGAATAGAGCAAAAATATCTAATTGTCCCATCCCTCCATCTACTTTGAGCCAGGCGGGGACACTAGCAGTGGCCTGCTCATCGGCTTGGGAGTCAAAGTCTAGTATGTCTGCTTGGTGGGCTAATGCTGAGCAGATATGCAAGACAGCACCAACAGGAGATATTCTTCCTGTAGGTATCTTCCACGTTTGCGGGGCAAAAAGTTTTCTACCCGCATCAGTTATGGCGCTTGGATTTGGGGCCCTCTTCCGAATCAGTGATGAGAGTTTATCCAAACGTCTGAAACGAAGGAATCAGGATGATACCCCAGACACTTCATTGGTAGAAAGAGTGGCACAGTCAGATGTCACAGTAGTTGACCTATTACCTGATAAAGATGACTATCAAAGTGATGTAAATAGAAATGAAGCTGAAGCTGAAGTAGGCAAAGAAGGCAACGATATGGACCATGAGGACAATGAAAATGAAAGCTCCGACTTAAACGAACCTGTAACTACAAGTCTATTGCAGTCGAAATCAACCAATGAGCAGGAAGAATCTGGCTCTAGAGAATCCTTCCAACAGATGCCCACTCTTAATGTAATAGACTGTCATCTGCAGAAACAGCTGGAGCCTCCAATTGAGTCTCATGTTAATACTTCAAACACCAAAGTTGATATGGCTCCTTCTGTGACTGCTAAAGCTGAAGGGCAAGTACCTCCTAAAAATATTTCCAGCAAGCGAGGAAAGAAGAGTAAGGCCAAGAAAATTATGACCAAATACAAGTTCCAGGAAGAAGAAGACCGCATTGCTGCTCAGCAGCTTATCGGGTCTACTTTAGGTCAAGAAAAAGCTAATATAAAAGCAGTAGCTAAAGCTGCCCGTGAAGCTGAGCTTGAATTTCATGCGGCAAGGAAAAAAGCCCAGCATCTAAAGTCTCAGAAAGAAGCAGTCGAATTTGAAGAGCTACGTAAGCATATGCTCGAAGGTGAATATGAAGAAGATGACGTAGAAGAAAACACAATGAATCTAGAGAATCTAGTTGGGATGCCAAATAGAGGTGATGAAATAGTAGATATGATACCCGTCTGCGCTCCATTAACTGCATTGAGGAACTACAAATATAGAGTCAAACTTCATCCCGGAGCAATGAAAAAGGGTAAAGCAATCAAAGATATACTGGGTAAATGGCTTTTAGATGGCGAGAAAAAGGGGATGCTTGATGAGAATAGCGAAGATAGTGAAAAGATTTGGCCGCGAGAGATGGAACTTTTAAGAGGCTGGAAACCTGTTGATATTTCAGGAGTCGTACCCGTTAGCAAGGTTCGGGTCGTGACTTCTGGCGAAAGCGGGAAAGCCTCAAAGTCTGGGGGACCTAAAGCAAAGGCAAAGGGTGGCAAGAAAGGCTAAAGGTAGTAACATCAAACTTGTCACTCATAGAAGGTAGAAAGAAATCAAGAGACTGGGAATATTGAAGGGAGGTCTTTAGTCATGAGGATTAGCTTAGCTCGAGTCAGCTTTCGATCCAAGAGGCCAGTCTTAAAAATGTAAATATACGCACAAGAAGTAGAAATTCCGGTTGGTATCACTTAGTTCACAGAAATACCTGCTAAAATTGCGTTCTAGTTAGTAGCCTGTATCACTATCATTCACTTGGAATAAGAGCAAAGATTTACAAGCGCAGAGAAACATCTAAATAGAACTAGCACTACTTGGTCATATCGTACGAAGTCGATCAGTTACGAGCAATATAGATCACCCCGCCCAACTAGAATCAGACAATTCCTCTTAACTGGGGTATTAGAAGGTGTAATCATCAAGATAACTACAACACAGTTCACTGGCGAGGATTTTGTTAATATTTGCACTCGGTGATAAGTTTTTATGTCTAGGGTGGAAAAGTTAGTGTAATTGCGAGAGGAAGTGTGTACAAACAGTGGCTTTATCAATATGATGTGCTTGACATCATTATGAAGTGGACGATGATATGTGTTCGCTTTATTAGACTTGTTTCCCGATGATTCCTGTCTATATGAAGGAGAATACTCCTGTTTATACCTAAAGCTCATCTGTCTAATTGCTAGTAGAATATTCCATCTTGTGATGTAAGATATTCTATCATATGCTGTAGAATAGTTTACATTCTTGTTCAAATCATCCACATGCAACTGTCTATGATTTCACTACACCAACCATATCTTGCATAGATCTCTATATCATCTAATAGAGCTTGTTTGCATAGCCAGAACACAATTTGCTTCTGAAGCACTATTGTATATTAGGCAAATATTCATTACATTGCATACTCATAACTATCACCTTGAACTAAAGTCCGATTTAATTCCAAATACTTAGCGGTGCAATGGCTTCTGCCAGCGCATCGTCCTCATCGTTGGCCGCCAACCCCAGCGCAACAATTCACCCAACTCTGATGGGATTTGCCGAGGCAATTCAAAAAGCAGAGCAACATAGGAAAGAAATACTGGATCTTGCCTAGGAATTCTTAGAAATAATCGGCACCTGGACTAAAACCAAGGCAGGAACAGCGGCGACGGCCACGGTGGCACCTCTGGTTGAAAGTATAGCTACAATAGTAACGTCTTTTGCTATTGGAACCACAAAGGCAAATGAAACCCCCCGTGAGACCCACCAACCCTCAAAGAACACGATAACAACAGAGGCTCCCAGGGGAACCAAAATACTCGCGCCACCTAATTGCACACTTCCAGCAAAGCCGCAAGCGGACAAGAGCCACTGGGTAACAGTAGCTCGTAGAGCGGCAGAGTCTCTCGATCCTCTTGCAGCTTCGCTCCATCGAAAGACTGTCTTGCCTGCAAATACGACGACTCCAATGCCCCCAAAACTAGTGTTGGAAATATTACCCAATGAAAGGGGCGCATTATTTATGGAACGAGAGTAGAAGCTGACTAAAAGAATGATATGTTCGGATTGCAGCTAATGTTGTGAGAATTTTGCGCTACAGGGTTGGATGGTGCAGTGGTACAGCATCCGGGCCATTCTCCCAATTAGATACTGGGTAGCTTGAACACCTACCCCATTCGAGACAGGAGAAAGCTGGTTCGAATCCAGTAAAACCATCACACCACACTCTCTCGCGGTGATATTGTACTTGTGGGATGATGAAAGCACACTCAGATAGCCACAGGTTTTTCACGCTTTTCCCTGTGGTGGGCACGCACGGAAGAGGTTATACGCCGTAAGGGTTAACATCGAGTGGTATCTGCAAATGAAATCTGAGTGTGAGTGTTCTAAATGTCAAATTGAGTCATCCTACTTCTAGCAAATATCTTCCGATTAAAGCCAGCATGGGCCTCAAGCCGTCAAATCAGGAAAAATGAATCATGTATGTAATGTGCGCTACAAATACAAGTGTAAGCGACACGTAGCCTAAGCTACAGCATAAACGAGTGTGGCGCCATCTAGGCATAGAAAACCCCCAATAACCTCCTCGTGCCTAGGCCGTACAGCTGCTCATATATCCAATAGGTAGCCTGAAGCGCTACCATATTACCCATTCCAACCACTTTAATACACACAAGATCGTGTCGGAAACCTAGATGAAATGGAAGGCCCGTACGTCCACAACACTCTGTGTCTTCATCTCCAACATAATGACTTTTGCATGCTAGGCGAGGCTCCTTCGCGACTGTCACTCTCGACCAAGACTTTTCTGACATCCTTTCACGACCTACGATTTGTCCTGCGGCATGAATCAGGGAGGAGTAAGGAGGAGGCTAGGAAGGTTGAGAGACGCTCTTAGGTATACACAGGTCTGCTGCGCCTGGCTGGCCGGCCTCTTCGTCATAGGAGAGCACCGCACCCAGTGGTTTTTGAGACTTTTCCCTGCAGCTACACACCCGCAAATGGCCATCGTTTAGTTGGCTGGAGAGGGGAAATAATGACGAGATAACGGCTCCTCTTAGTGTGTACTTGAAGACCTGTGGGGTTATTAATGCAGGAAAGAAGTCTTGAAAGAGGGATATATACTCCCGGTCTGTAGGGAGGAAAGACCTAATTGTCCTTACATAGTTAGAGACTTCATAGGACAATTAACAAATGCAAACATACGATAACACAGGGTATACGCAATCTCCGTTCGCCAAACATCAGCCGCTCAGGATTACTTATTATCGAGCCTAGTAGGATCCACAAAGTGTAATCCCATTCAGAAATAATAGAAAACTCAACAACCAAACCCTTCATCAATTCGAGAAATTCGAAAATTCGAAAATTCATTTTTTCCCTCTTTCCTCCCTTCTCGACCTCGTCGCATCTATCTCTGAATTGTGATCGAGCTCAGGCATTTCACCATGCCTCCAGTTCGCAAAAAGCGCCCCAACGTCAAGTTGGACAACACGAGAGTCCACCCGAGGGCTCTCCAACAATTACCTGGCCTTGCCCAGTCTCCGAAATGCGCGGAGATGAGCAAAGTCTCTACCAAAGGGAAGGAAAAAGCCCTCCCTACCGTCACTGAGCCCGATACTGACATGATCGGGTCAGTCGAAATTATTGAGGAAATTCCTCAACCATCCTCCGTCCCCCACGGGATTGGAGAATCGTCAAAATCTCCCCCGACCGCGCCAAAACTGTCGGAGAACGCTGCACCCAAATCAGCGTCAAAATCAACGTCGCAGCCCAAAGCTGCCACGAAAGCAGATTGCCCTCCGGAACTTCGACCCATTATCGAAGCCGAGCAACGACGTGCCGCCGAAACAGCGGCAAATCTGGCCCTCTGTTCCGCCGCCATCTCTGGCGTCGAAGTCACCCTTCTTCCTTTGACCAACGGGTCAAACAGACAATTTGTAGACTCGATGAGAGTCTACCTACGCGCAGCCATCGCGCAATACATGGCCACGGGCGCGGCCTCCACGCCACCCGTCCTCCCTCCTCGCCCGGCGAACCCGATCCCAAGGGCTCCCGACGTCAGGAGCACAACGATTTCCGCCGTCCCAGCGCTGCCTATAAAAAGCACCTGGGCCACGGTGGCCAGAAATAGACTGCAACAAAAAGCAGTCCCAACTGTAAAGGCTGTTCCGCGACCTGCGGCAAAAGCCCAAAATAAAGAAGCCCCGAAGGCTAAAGTCGACAAACGACTGTTCCTTCGCTTAGAGAGCGATCACCCATGGCGCCAGCTTTCGCCTGACGGCATACGGCATCAATTGTGTTGTAGGCTACTGTACACATTGAGTGAAAAAAGCTCTATACACCGTGTCAGAACCGGATTTGCGATTCTGACAGCGGATGAAAATGAAAGGGAAGAGCTCTTAGATGCCTCACCGAAGTTGTCGGACTTCAATGCCAAAATCGAGGAAGCCTCCAACCTTGTCGCCTTTCGGATCGCGAATGTTCCAGCGACTATAAAATTAATCAACCGTATTGAGACGGTCGATGCCGGTAGGATCTCACTGGAGATTTACCGCAAAACACAACGACGTCCATGCCAGGTGCGACCGCAAGGGACATGTCGTCCTGGAGCGCCATACAGAAACTGGTATGCCCTTTTCAACCGGGACTCCGCCCCTCGTGCGGGCTTCCGAATTCTCGACGAGTCCGGAGCGGCTACAAAGATCCAGCCTCGTCGCCAAATTGAACAGTGCAAACGCTGTTTGGGCTTCCACGCCACCCGTGGTTGCTCCCGCGCCCCAGCGTGCTGGAACTGCGGATCAAACATGCACTCGGAAGCCGAGTGCAAGGCCCTCACAAAATGTCGCAACTGTGGGGGACCCCACCGATCGGATTCCCGGGACTGCAAAGTCAGACCCAGAAAGTCTGGACCGGTGACCAAAGAGCAGCTCGCGTGGATCCGCCACATCGAACAAGGGGAGTTCGCGAAGGTGGCACGAGCACGAGCAACAGCAAAGAAGGCCGAAGAGGCAATCACCGCCGCTGCAAAGGACTTCTCGATGGCCGAGGCTACAGGTTTCGGAGTTCTGGAATTTGAAGAAGAAGTTTGAGGACACAGGAACCTCGATGATGTCCCTTTTGGGGCATATACTAACCAATAGCAGGATACTGGCTGGATAAAAAGTGCCTGCTATCTCATCTCTTGCTCTCAGCGGAGATTGAGTAAATTTGTCATTTGGAAGATGTGGCAGGAAAGGGAACGGGCGAGAAGCGCGGGATCCGGACCACATGAAAAATCTTGTAAATTTGATTTCAGTCTTTGGCTTTTAGTTTTGATTTTAGTTTTTGATTACAGTTTCTGAGTTATAATTTACCTGCTACTTTTTCTGTAGCGGGTCACGCGGTTGGAATGAGTTGGGCCTGTAAGCAGTGATCCCCGCCGGCTCCACCAGTCTTGTACCGATAGTGGACCTAGAGCCTTAGCTTAGGACTTTAATATAATAAAAAAAAAAAAAAAAAACCCTTCATCAATTATTTCCATTGAGCATCACCTGACTTACCTCTGTACTCCATATTTTCAATAAATCGGAGTTCACATTGCTAATCATTTACTTCACTACCAAAACTTTTACAGGGAAATGGGAGATGTGACAACTTGTTCATCGTATCGCCATGCAGCTTCTCGACGTCCTATCTGTGAACAAGCGGTGAGAAGAAGCTTCCTCGCATCAAAGTAGGGCTATCAAGAAATTCAGACGCTGACAGCCACTTGCCAACTATGATTTTCGATCGTAAACATTAATGACAGGTCGACAGGATAAATAAACCGACCAGTAGTATGAGGTAAATAGCCCGGTTTCAGTGCGTCGAATACCAATCAAAAAAGTTGATTATACCTGCCAGACCTCCTTACCTGTCCACCGCATATTGGCCTCGCAACAAACAAATCAACTGACACGCTCCCCCGCTTGCATGACATATCAACGACAATTATCCAATCGTTTGATTGTGGGTCAACGTTACGAACTCCGCAGGACGTGCAATTGAGAGGGATCGCTTGCATCTTTCGGCAAATGCGACAGGCAAAAACGCGGGAAGAGATCGGCCAACATCGATTGGATCCCTGTGTTGGTCTAGCTAAATGATCCACAGCTGGAGCGTTGGTGATCTGCATTATCAATTTCATAGATTCGACTTTTTCTTGATCAGTCTATTTTAGCATTCGAAGACCTATGTAGGAATGGATTATGACAGGTAGTAAGAAACAAAATCTCTTGATATAAGTTGGTGAAATCCACCTTTCTTTGATCGAACATCCATCAAACTCTTCCTATTCTTCACACTCCTCACATATCCATCTAATCCACATACCAATCTTCCTCGACTTCCTCGATTCCAATCCATATAGCATCATTTCACCAGATGTCTCAATCACACGAAGATTCTGCGCATTTCGCAGCAAATCCACTTCAAGGCATTACTTTAAGCTTCAAAGGAATCTGCGCGTTTCTCAACTTTGACATTTCGAAACGATGGTTGGACGAAGACACCGATCTCAAGCCTATAAGTACAGCACTTTCTAATCTGCTCATGTCCTTCAATTATTATGCCACATATCAGCTACCACCATCAGCTGTTGATACAAACATGCCTGCACGTATCAACTCAATTAAGAGGCGTTTAGCTTCCGAATGTATACGCTCAAAGCATCTCATACCTCTAATCAATTCTATCCTCGCCGATGAGACAGATATCGAAATTTGGAAGCAATTGACTGACCTGGTGGATTCTCTGGAGCCAATCCCTCCGACCGTGATGGATGTTAGATCGGCACCATTCATTGATTCACGACACATACGGTGTACGGCTCCGCTTGAAGGTCAGGACCAATTCATGGAATCATTGAAAGATGAGCTTAGGACCGAACTGGCAGGCACAATTTTTGAGAATGTCGACGGCTTCTACAAAAAGTACTTTGAGGGGACTACTTGGGCTAACAAGTGTAAGGATATTGCAAAGCGCTACGTGAACAGGCGAGATAAAGTGAGCTTCCAGTTCCCCACCAATCCAACGGAAGCCAATGTTTGGGAATGGATCAAGGCGGTTCAAGCGAGATTTATCGAGCCTTACAAGCCATACAAGACGTCCAAGGAACAGAAACCTATCCCTCTCCGCGCTGAGACGTTCCAGACTACGGGACCTGGGCAGATAAATGGTGGATTGGCTCCGCGGCAAATTGATATCTTCCTCAAGAGCCGCCATCTCCCAGCTCGTACTCCCCACGACTGGCGAGACGTTCTTGTTATAGGCGAGCTGACGACCTCACCCGTTGGGAAATGGACCGACAAGTTTCTCCAGCTCTCGGTTTACATGCGAGAGGTATTTGCGGCGCAGCCATTGCGACGATTTGTGCATGGGTTTCTAATGTTCGGAACACAACTGCAGCTCTGGGTCTACGATCGATCTGGACCGTACTCGTCTGACTTCATTGAAATCAGGGAAAATCCGGAAAAGCTGTTGTACGTCATAGCTGCGTATATGATGATGAGCAACGATGAACTTGGCATTGACTCAACTATCTATCAAGATAAGAAGAAGACCATCATCACAGTCGTTGATGCCGACACTTTGAAGGAGAAGAAGTTGTACCTTCAGCCACAGCCGTTCATAAAGCAAAATGCAATTGTCACGCGCGGCACGGCGATTTTCCTTTCTCTGGACAAGACGTTAGTGGTGAAGATTTCTTGGAGAGCTGTAGGACGCAAGTCGGAAGCTGAACTTCTTTTGAAGGCACGGGGCGTTCGAGGGCTAGCGATACTGATTGGATCGAGCGATACCTGCAAGATTAGTGAACTTCGCAGCGAGCTTACTTTCACGGAAGGAATGAAAAAAGATATTCATCCACCTGAATCCAAGATGACGACGGCATGCAACTCAGCACAATCTGGGTCTTTAAACTCAGGTGAAAGCGCCGAGCTAAATGGAGGTGTCAAGCGTGGCAGCGAGTTCATCGACGGTGATAATAAGCAAGAAATCCGAAGGAGCAAGAGGGCGTGTGTCGTAAATATTTCAAGGCAAGCTCAGCTCAACGCCGCGATAGCAAGAATACGCAAAAGCGTCAAATCTGGCGCCTCAGGAAGCAAAACTGGAGCGAAAAATGGGTCAAAGACGTCGGAAGCTAATGCGAATCCCGCGATTGAACAAGCAGCTTCAGAAACGCCTACGGCACAGGATAATATGGCGACAGAAAGCAGCCTTGATGTTGGTCAAGGGTCAAACTCATCTTTGGGAAAAAGGAACAGAGATACTGATGACAACAACGCCAACACCGATGTGGACATGTTACCTGAGCGAGATATGAAGAAGCTCTGCATAACAAGCAATACTGGAGAATCAGATTTGGAAGCCAGCGCCGGGCCTGTGACTACGCAAGAAAACGACGTCCCAGGAGCCTCAGGCGAACAAGCGCTTGTTGATGCAGAGATGAAAACTTCGGCACCTGTTCCAGATGTCACCAATACTGATTCTCCGACGATTTATAGGAATCGTTGGAAGACAGTTATCGCATCGAAACCTTTCGGACGTGCCATCGATGAAGATACAACACCCCTTGAACTGATTTGCGGGCTACGCGACGCAATTAAGGGTCACAAGTCACTTTTTATGGATTCGAAGATATTGCACCGCGATATATCGACAAATAATATTATATTGACAGAACCGAAGCTCAATGATGGTTGTCATGGGGTGTTGATAGACTTGGACCTGGCAATTTCGTTGAGTGACGATAGTTGTTCAGCAGATGCCAAGCTCCTGACGGGGACGACGGAGTTTATCGCACTCGGTATTTTGGATGCTCATGCAAATCCAACGGGGAATGGGGTTGTTCATTCTTATCGACACGATCTGGAATCATTCTTCTATGTACTCATTTCGGTCTGCATACGTCTTGGATGGCCTTCGAAAAAGTCACCTTTTATTGGCACGCTAAGGAAATGGTACAAGGGTGAAATTGACGACACGTACTCCGCTAAACACACTGCCGTTTGTCCGGCAAACTTCAAAAACAAAATACTGAATGTATTCTCGCCAAAATTTGATTGTGTGAAAGAGCTGGCTTCAAAGTTGCGCATCAAGCTGTTTCAAAGAAATATCGATCCGTGTATAGAGACCGACCCGTTTCCCGAAGATCTTTATAACTCGATACTGAAAGCTTTCGACGAGGAAATTGTAAAGATGAAGCATGAGTCGCATCCTTCAGTAATACTCATTACTCTTCATCAAAAGTATAAACATTTACTGACTCGTCGTCTTTAAAGCAGCTTGATGAATGAGACTATGCGGTAAGAACAGAGAATATAAGGATATTAATGATGTCTTGGGTAGGATGCTGATATTAATGACAGTTGCGCAAAGCTCTGACTTGCAGCGAAAAGAACAGGAGAATGGCTGTGTTCACTCATTTCTTCCCGTTTTGGTAAGTCCCAGTAACTTTACCCCAAACAAGGGCTGATGAATCAGTCAGGGTAGTAGAAAAAGAACTTGGCAGTTTAAATTTGTCCATGTTGGCGAGTGTTGATTGTTTCGATGTGCCAAAAAATATGTGGTAGATCTGAATTTGGCTAAACTGTTTCAACCCGGTATAGAGGCTTAAATTAATAGACGAAAAAGCTTTTGTTACATCATGTTGATGAGCTAGTTGTCGTCGGATCAATTGGTGTTGGTATGCAGCAGAGCAAGTCCAGAATAAATCAGTTCATTAATGAAATCTAGAGAAGGAAGATTTCCTACTTCTCGATGTATATATAGAGAATTGTATTTATCAGCGTCGATCATAACAATCTATGTTGCTAAGGAGCCATATCCAGACCGCATTATTGGTAGCCCTTGTAACTAGCTAGGCCCGATATTCCATTCCTGCCGTACTGGCGCAGACAGTACAAACACAAGGTATTAATCCCGCAGCACTATTTACTGTCGAACTAATAGACCTGGGGGGACTATTCTCAACTCCTGTCAGTGGTGTCCCCTACGAACCTCCAGCTCTCACTGTAGAGTCTGCAGAGCCGAGATTGAGTAACACTTTATCAACTTTGAGCTGAGCTATCTTCCCCTCCGTCAAAGATACGCTTCCGATAACACATAAGACGACAAAGACGACGATAATGATGCTGGGAATGAGGAGAGATAATGCGGTACCAAACGCTACAACAGTAGTCAGAGAAACCCTCGTTATATCACAACATGTGCTACCCAACGGCAGGCGAATAAAAAGCCCACGAAAGCAAATTAAAAGACCCTTCCGCCCTCAAGAAAAGGAGATTTCGACTCGCCTACATTATCGTCTTTACTAATCATAAATTCCGAATCTACTAGCCAGGAGGGCATCTGAAAAACATGAGTTACTCGACAACACCACGTCCGTAACGACTTTTGGATGCTAGGCTAGGCTCCTTCGCGACTGTCACTCTCGACCAAGACTTTTCTGACATCCTTTCACGACCTACGATTTGTCCTGCGGCATGAATCAGGGAGGAGTAAGGAGGAGGCTAGGAAGGTTGAGAGACGCTCTTAGGTATACACAGGTCTGCTGCGCCTGGCTGGCCGGCCTCTTCGTCAGAGGAGAGCACCGCACCCAGTGGTTTTTGAGACTTTTCCCTGCAGCTACACACCCGCAAATGGCCATCGTTTAGTTGGCTGGAGAGGGGAAATAATGACGAGATAACGGCTCCTCTTAGTGTGTACTTGAAGACCTGTGGGGGTATTACTGCTGGAAAGAAGTCGTGGAGGAGGCATAGAAGGGAGTACACTACCCGAGGCATAGATATTCCCAGTCTGTAGGCAGAAAGGACCTACATGTCCTTACATAGTTATAGACTTTTTAGGACAATAAACACTCACTCACTCACTCACTGATAGACCTGTATATGAGGCTGAATAAGGCTGAGAAGGAAGCGAGCGCAATCAACCGTGCATTACATAATTCTGGTATTTTGTGCTATAATTAGCTGCGCCTACTTTTACCTGTTTACCATATTAAGCGCTCTTCATGATTTTACCTTGTTTTTAAAATAGGATAACACAGTCTGTTTGTAAGACTAGATGATGAGATTACGTGGTCTGGACTATGGGAACTGACGGAAGGAAGACGAGCGAAGATGTATTTAAACAGAGGTGAGATCATGGAAGATAGGACAATCAATCATTTTCCTCTTTCCCATCTCTTTGAGAAAAACATCGAAGTCCCAATCCTGCGACAGTTACACATTGATGCGGTGTTGAATTCGAATAAACGAAAGAAGTACAATTTTCTGTAATAACGTTGTTGACTGATGAACAAACCAATTGACCCCTCTCAAGTCAAGTAAAATAGAAGAGTCGCGAACAAGTTACGGGAAATGGAAGAATCCGTGACTCATACAATGATGATGAAGAGGATGATGAATTACGAGAAGAAATGAAGAATTCTCTGGATGACTCAAAGCGCATTTATTCAACAAAATATGAGGGACACCAGACGAGTTACATCTTATTTAAGTGGTAGTTGTTGTGATTATACAGTTTTGCATTATCTATTTCTGTGTCCTACTACTTGTGACTAATAATTCACTTGTCACCAGACTCTATGTTTGATGTAGTCACTTCTCCTGCTATAGGTGCGGGAAGCTTACTAAACACAAGGGTAATTGACATTTGGATAATGATGTTAGGTAGAGAATTGTGTACTTACTTCAATTAACCGCCAAATTTCGTTTTTTTTTTAATCATTGAGTGTATGCAGCCTAGCCAAATTTCGTTATATGAGGTATGATACCTATGTATAGTGGTAGTCTCTCCTGCTTCCGGAGAACTTCAGTTCATTATATCAACTGAATATCTTTGAAGGTCATTTTCATCTTTTCTCTCGTCAAATCCTATAGCTATACATCCAAAGCTCTATTCTCCAGCTCTGGTGTTTGAATACCTCTCTTCTTCTCTAACAGTCCGGAAATCCCTCGCGATACTTAACGTCCCAACATCAGTAACGTTCAAATATTATAACATCAATAACTTTAAGTTCAGATGATAGTTCTTTTATTTTTCGTGCGACCTAGACTTGGGGCAAAGATAGAGAACGGGACTAGGGAGAGGTAAGGATTCAAAACCGAATTTTGTTATTTGATTCAAATGAATAAGTTAGATACTCAAGAATCGAATAAGTTTTACTTTGAAATTGTTATACTTTGCTCCCTACTTGTAAGGAGTAGCCTAGCATAGCACGTAACCTTATGTCTATAATTTTAGTTTTTTTTATAAAATCATTTAATATGTATTCAAATTCGGGACTAGTGTATTATAATCATTAGTTAGACTTTAAATACTAAACAATAATGTGTATTCAGCTATAAAGCTACGACACATGACCGGTGCTATGTATACTTATAGGATGACTCTTTTGACGTTAGAGACACTCATACTCTGGATTTCATTCGCATATACCACTATGAGGTACGTTCGCTTACACAAACAGTCGAGCCTCCTCCGTAAGTACCCGCCAAAGGAAATTTCAAATCTTTTGGTTATCCAAGCATGCCTTCGTCATCCATGCATACCAGCACCGCGAGAAAAGTGGTACTGTTTTGCCGGATTTGAACAAGCGATCTACTGTCTCGAGTAGGATAAGTGTCCAAGCTATCCAGACTCTACTTGACAGACCAGCCAAGACGATGTACCACCGCACCATCCAACCATAGCGGTGTTTATAGTGTCGCCTGCACTCTCGCAACCGAAGTCTTGACACGCACAAAGCTCAATTTGTAAAAGCTCCTTGCCAAAATTCAAAATTCCACGCCCGTCGAGACTGTATCCATCCTTCGCATCATCTTGTGAACTTGTCCTGAATCCTCTCACGTCCATCCCAAAGAACAGTCTCCCAGATTTGTGCGCCACGCTTTGTGTCCTCCGTCTGGTGTAATATCAGCGTGGGCGTGTATTTGGTGACCAGCTGAGGCCAGAGGAAGTCAACGAGAGGTGTTGTTATTGGAATAAGGATGTGCTAGGTCGTACTTGTAGACTTGATGGGACTTAGGTATGAATCGGACTCTTTGGGAGTGAATATTTGCTGTGGTGGAGTAGTTTGAATCATTGCCTCGCGGGCCAACTACGTTGATATTGCGAAATTTGACTGAACTTGGCTCTGGGAGAATATTTCACACCCAGGTTCGTAGAGGATACCGCGTACAGGTGCTCAGTCTTGCCCTCCGGTGCGAGGCACCCGTGTCATACAGAAGAGGATTCTTGATTAAGCTAGCTGATGCACCTCTAGCTAGCATATTAACTGAGACCCCTTCATCCTCGTCGTTAGTCTCGTTACTGTCTTCGACGGCAGCGCTTCCTCTTGATTTCCTTTCTCTTTTCCTTTTTTTTTGATGCGTTTTATTTCTGAATGCTGCCGGTAGCAGTCCCTGCTCCGATGGCGATGTCTGCACAAAATACATGCATCTTCTGGTCCCCCAAGAGTTTTATTCCTCTCATGCGCGCTCCTTTCCCCTCCATTAGCTGCATTTACTTGTCCGTATGATTATGATTTAGGCCCTCCGATTTGTCTCAATGTCGACATCAGCTTTTCCAACGAGAGGTACCGATTTTTGCTGTCGTGAACTTTAGTCTGACGCCAGGTCTCCAGCCAATCTTTGTTTTTTCGGTCCCGAGAACGAAAACACAACTTGCATACCCTTTTGTGATCAAGTATGGATTTACTGACTCTGTGATGTCATTTGGCACCATAGACTCAGCTGCACTGTTGACATTCAGGTAGTATGGCATAAACTTACCGCAATAGTCGTCTATCGTAGTGAAGCGGATATTCCATAGACTCCTAACGGCAGTCTCATATAGAGTTGCTGCATTCTCTTCTCGACTGGAGGCGATATTATCAAAAATTTGCTTGGCTGACATGTGGCGGAAGTTTTGAGGTCGAACATCTAGACTCAGCCGCCTGAGCATTGGTTTCTTAGCTTCGATCTCGCCTTCTTTCCACTTGGCTAGGTCATCATAATGTTTGTCCATCACTTTGCTAAATTCTATATCGGACTGGCCTTGTTTATTCAATGGCTCCGTAGGCCGGATTGCTGGCCTTATTTCCTCGAGATTACGGAAGATATGTGACAAACGACCTTTCTTGATGAGAGCAGCTCGAAGGTCGGATTCCCAGTCTGAGAAGCTGGTCCCAGGAGCTAGAATAATTGCTGCAGTTTTATCCATCATGTGATAGAGAGCAGGGAAGAGCCCGGGCTCATAACCTGTTGTGATGATGAGGAGAGGAAGTGCGTACAAAC